GTGGCGTCGTGCGGGCGAGGGCGGCCTGTCCTCACACCTCGCGGTGCGGGGCGCTTCCCTCCGCACGGCGCGGAAGGCGGCGACGGGTAACGCGGCCCTTTGGAGCGGGGGCGTGGGGAGAGGCGAGGCGAGGCCAGCCGGGGGCTATAAGAGCTCCGCCAGCCCCACGGAGAGCCGCGGGGAGCTCGTCCTCGCAGGCTGCGGCGCGGTCGCAGAGGAGTTTCTCCTCGGGTGAAACAACTTGGCTGGGGGTTTGCGGCGGCGGCGGCTGACATCTGGCTGCGTGGATGCGTGCGGGTGTCTGGCAGGCAGTTACACTTGCGGGAGGGGGGTTTCCATCCCCTCTGGGGCAGTGAGGCTCTGCGAACAGGTAGGACTGGTTCTGCTGAGCTGACAGATTTGTGCAAGGCTGGCTGGTTTATGTGCTGCCCTGGCTGATGCTTCTTTATGTGAACTTATTTTGCACGATGGGAAAACGTTGTTGCGCCGTCGGTAAGTTTTGTTTTGGACTCCACGTTTCTTCCCTCATCGGGCAGAAATGGAAGAAAATATGTCGATGAGCCTCTTGTGTACAGCTTATAAAAGGGGAAGTAGAGGAGCATGAGGAGTAGGTAGATTTGAATGCTGAGATCTGAGAGGGAAATATGTGCACTCAGTGGGAAAGAACTTAAATAAACGTGGGAACTACTGTAGTTAGAACGTTGGTTAAAGTCTGATGTAATGAGAGTACGGGGTGCATCTTTTTCAGTGCATTTAATCCAGTGCTTGCACTGTTGTGTCAGTGCACACGCAGGTGTTTGGATACAATGCAGACGTTAGGAACGACGAACGCATCACTGCTGCTCTGACACTCTAGGTGTTCCTCGCAAGCTAAGGAGCTGCCTATGATAATTGCAGGGATGTTGCTTGAAAAGAAATAGAAATTTACATGAAATCTAATTCAGCTTAAAATGAGGGATGTTACTGTTCTGGCTGGTACCATCTTAATTTGTACCAGTGCCTTGCAAAACTGGAATAGCTGAGTGTTAATCACAGAGTGATTCTGCTGACATCGGCTTTCTTTGCAGCCATGTGCTGCTCGGGGAAGGCAACACACTTACCCGGGCTCTGCTTGCACAAATAACAAGCTGGAAACAAGCGTATTGCTACTGTCTTTCTCAAGATTCCCTTTGCCACAAATTAATACAAGTTTCTGTGCTGAGGGCTGACATTTCGGTCGCACATGTGTGCTTCAGACCAGTTATTATTTGTGCTCCTCTGTCATCTATAAGCCAAATTTTAAGATTTATAGAAAGGGTTCAATATTTTCATAAAGCTGCTTAAATAAAAGAAAACAGTTGCAGCCAGACACCTCTCTTTTTCCACATTAAAACTGTTGTTGTTCAGTTCATTCTCTAGGGTTTCTTTTTGTTGTTGTTGGTAAAGGCTTTCATCAAGCAGCTCTCTTCCTCTGATTCTTATTCGCAGTGAGTACAACTTACTGAAAAGCTTTTTCTGACCAAACTTCAAGTTACTGTTTAATTCTTCATGCTTGATTTCTCCATTTCAGTATTTTTGATGTAACTAGGTTTCCTGGAGTCTGAAACAACGTCCTTGGGTTTTGTTAACAGTGAGGTTTGTAAAATGGTTCCCACCTGAATCTTAAACCCCTGGTTGTTCGCCTGTTTCCAGGATCACACAAGTCTTCTTGGTTGGTTCCAAAAGAAAACGGAACTATTGAGTGCTGTCTTCTGTGTAGGCTTCTGCTTTATTTTTGATGATCCTGTGTTTTATCTGTACAGCGTGTGTCCTTGTTCTGCACAGATAGAAAACAATAAAAATGCACTTCGGATCCTTCCCGATCCCCCCTGTGTTGATGCACAGATTCGACCCCAGGCAAGCAGTGCTGAGAGCAGCGAAGGTTTAATTCCTGCTCTCAGCTCTTTGTCCGTGCTCCTAAGCTTTTATACTACAACTTGGTTTTAGGGAAGCATTAAACAATGTGCCAATAAAAGATGTGTTGATACCCACGGTCCCAGCAGAAGCTTGGTTGACTGGGACATCTTTAACTCTGTTTTGTGGCAGAGGGCTGTGGGGAGCAGGCTCCTCACACCGGGCTCTCGGCTCACTCACGTGTTCTCTTCAGGAGGACTTCGTGCCTTCAGGGAAGTTAGAAAATACGCTTTATTTTAGGTAATAGGTACATAGCGGTGTGAGACAAAGGAGCAACCTGCAAGAAAGGGAGGGAAAAGCCAGGTCATGCTGCCTTTTAAAAACAAACTCTGGGACTTTGTCTATCTGTTTTCACTTTGAGGATGATTTCTGGAGGGAAAAATGACCCTGGCTTTCACTTTTTGCTTGATAATTGCAGAATGTAAATGGCTTGAAGTGTTTAGAAAGTAGAGATGGTTTTGCTACCTGAAATTCTGTTACTTAGCTAAGAGATGCTAAAGAGATTTGTAGTGCAAAATAGGAGGTGTCAGGATGTAGGTCTGCTCTCTTGCTGCCATAAGTTGGGAGCAATTGGTTAAAGTCAATAAAGCAATGCAGACTTGCAGCAGATGGGGAACTGATGCACAGTTTGGGGGTTTTTTTTCAGTCTTTCTGTTAGAAAAGACTACGTGACCTAAGACCACGAAAACTTTTTTTGCTCTCCTGCCCTGCCCTCCCTTCCTCCTCATCAAATGTTTAGAATAGTGGAACTGAACTCAGAGTTGTCTCTGTGCCAAATTTTAGGGCATCAATATAGTGGAAATCAATATAACAGTTAAAATGTGTTTGTTTTCTAAACATTACTTTTTAAACAGATATGAGTTGGCCTTAGCCACTGTTTTATTTCCATTATTTCAGTTGTTTTTCTGCAAACTTCCTTGCTTTGTCTCAGTGAAAGTGTCTTTTCTTGAAGCTGTTACTTATTTCCACCATTTTTACTCCAGTTAGGGACACACCAAGCCAAGTGATACTTACTGACCGTCCAGAGAGATGCATATGTCAGCCTATTTGGTGACTACATACAGATAGTTTAAATATTTTGTGTATAAATGTGGGGATCTCCTTTTGTATAAAGGTTATTGGCATAGGACAGTACCTCTAAGCAGGTTTTTGTGTGATATGGTTTCTGTCTATCCCAGCTGTCGCCCTTGCGTCTCCTGTAATCAGGAACACTTAACCAACATTTGGAGAAATAAATCAGAGCTGACATTTATAACTGAAACATATAACTTTGTAGCATTTGTAACTGGGAATACTGTACGTTGAAGGACTGTTCAGTATGTTAAAACTGTAAATCACTCTTAAAAGACCTTGAATATCAAAGTTCATTTTACATTAGGAGACAACATTTTTGTTATTTTGGGGGCTCAAGGCTGCCGTCAGCTGTTAATTAATTGAGGAGGGTTCAGTATTTCTCCACCAAGGTAACTTAATTACTTCTGAAGTTCTTCTGAAGAGATATTCAAAGGAAGAAATTTAATGTGAAGGCACCAGTTTTTCGGAGTTGCGTTCACTGTTGCAGTGATAGTTTGGCTGAAAACTTGCTTTGCTGCTTTTTTTTCTGCAGGTAGAGCCGCCACATAAAGTTACTTTTGTAGGAAGCTGAAGGACTTTTTTGTCATCATCTGTAAGTATCTACCTTCAAAGTGATATTTAAGTGCATCTGTAAACTAGAACTGGTCTTTTTCATGTTTCTCTAGTAATTATTCCTCAGAATTTTATACTGTAGATTTTTTTGTAAGTCTTTCATGCAAATTCTTAAAAATTGCCTGACCAAAGAGTACGAGGAGCTTGGATAGACGTTCTGTTATTATCTACTTGTCTACCCCATTGCTTTCATACAGCAGTAATTTTTGTCCATCTCCTCTGGGTTGTAAATCCAAAAGGCAGTGCGACACCTTTTGGTTTTCTGCTTTGCCTCTTGGGGGTCTCCCAGAGCAGAACTGTTACTGCAGCAGTCTTTAATGTCTGAGCTGCAGGATGAAGATGGTCCTTGAGAACATTTCACAAAGAAAACAGGGTAAGATCTTATCTTTCTATCTTACAGGATAAAGGAGATAAAATTGTTGAGAATCACACGTCTGGTTAGTGACAGAGCCAGGAACAGAACATGGGTTTTGTGATCATCACTTCGGCAGATCGCTCCTGTAGAGAGGGAGGGCAGGTTAGTTGTGTGCACAGGGACTCACAACCTCATTGGAGGCCTCCAAACTCCAAAACCATTTAGCAAATTTTTAGAAAAAAATTATTTGCTAGATTTTAGAGGTGTCAGTCCCTACATTCACAAACAAGTCTTGAAGAAGGTCTGAGGACAGTGAGTTATTTAAGGCCGTAGATGCACGGGGAGTGGATCTTGCTGTGCAAAGGAGTGAGGTGGTACTTCTGGACTGCAAGATGTAATTTCCAGTTTGGGGAAGGGTGTTGTGTGCAAACGGTGCGGAGGGTGGACACTGTAACAGGAGATTTTTGTGTGCGTATTTAATACTGTCATGCCTTGGCGTATAAGCCACACCTGTACACAGCTTTAAAACTCACATCACTTGCTAATACTTAGAAAGTGATTTTTGGATGCATCGCTCATCTACACATCACCCTGTTGACACAGCAGAGTACTGAACTGTTACTATTTCCAGAAGGTCAGTCTTCCTCTTGGCCGGCCCTTCCCAGAGTGCACTGTCTGGGGGCAAACACCTTGCTAAACTGCAAGGTACTCTGCTGAGATTACAACAAAGTAGAGATTTATTTTTTTTTTTAAATATTCTTTTTGGACCTTAACTAATATTTTTATACTTGTGATTTTTTTTTTTTTTTAAATCCTAAATCATTTATTGAGATTGTATTATACCTGTAGCTTTTCTCATACAGCTTTTCAAGCCTATGTGCTTCACTCAGGATACCTGAGGTCTTAACAGCGGGTGGCTGCGTGGTGTTCTCCTTGAACTCTGGCAGATATTAATGCCCGGGGTCTTCACGAGGCCTATTTAACACTCAGAAAATGAAATGTTCCCCCTTTCTGTAGTACAGTGCTGATGTATGTATGACTTATTAATGCTTTCTGTACTGTTCCTGTGTTACACAGAAGAGGTAGAAGTACCAAATGGTGACTAACTTTCATTGCCTGTATGCTGTATTGCATGTATTTCTTGAAGATTGGTTCAAATAAGCCTCTGCTTGAATGTGTGCCTCTCCGTACAGCTCACTTGTATTAGCAAATCGAGGTCGGTCACATTTCTGATGCTCTGTTCTGTTTGGTTTTTGTTTACACAGGTCTTGCCTGTACATCCGCGCTCATCTGAGAAGATGGTGTTTCGGAAACCACCAGATGGTGGCTGGGGCTGGGTGATTGTTGTTGTTTCCTTCTTTACTCAGTTCTTATGTTACGGATCACCGCTGGCGGTGGGAGTCTTGTATTTAGAATGGCTGGATGCGTTTGGAGAAGGGAAAGGCAAGACTGCTTGGGTTGGATCACTAGCAAATGGAATCGGATTGCTTGCCAGTAAGTGTAGAAGCAGTATCTGTCTTGGAATGTTTCTTCTAATAGATGCTTTCATCTGTGTGTGCTTTTGGAGGTAAAGACAGCTGAAAATGATAGAAAGGATGCCACGTTTTTGGTTTAGGTCAAGACAGGCAAGAATACGTTTATAGTTCTGCTATACGTAAACCAAAACAATGTAATGGTAAAAGAGCAATAAAAATATTACCCTTAGAAAATTCAAAATTACTGTATTTGAATAAACTAGAAAAAACAAACGCTGGGAAACTGAATGGTAATTTTGTCAGTAAGATTTTTATTTTTTTTTTAAATGAGGCTTTAAGACTAACATTTGCATTAGTTTCTTTAAAATCAGAGCAGACTGCTAGTCTGAAATGGTTCAAGTGCTTTAAGAAAAAAAAGAATTAATAAACCAGTCACTAACTTTTCAGCTCTAGAAGTAAACCCACCAGTTAGGGTGGGTGAGGGCTCTTTTCCACTGAGAAAAAACTCCCTTTGAAGCTTGCAAAGTTATGGATAATAGTGGCATTAAATAAAACAAGCTTTTTTTAGTAAAACATTGCCACATTGAAGAATAATAGCAGGGTTTTAGGGAAATAAAACACCATTTTGATAGTCCATAGGCCCATTTTGTTGTGGTTTTCTTTTTAACATCAAGCATAGGTATTGCACTGGGTAATATCACTAACTTCTGCTTTTCAAAGATTCACCATGGGAACTATTATCTTTTTGCTGAATCTGGGTAAAAATTGCCTGTCAGCAGAGCAATTGCTACAGGCAAAAGCAATTAGTAATAGCTTAATGGACAAAATGCAGCTCAGGATTCTGAGGAAATCTCTCCTTAAAAGGAAGTTGATGTTTAAATATCGATAGAGGCTGAATAAAGACCACTGCTTTGTACGGGGCTACAGCTGGCCAAATACTGGTGTCACACTCGTGTTAGGGTTTTATATCACTAGGCAGAACAGAAATGGGCAAAGGAAGGTGGATCATTAACCACAAGACAACTGTACTCAGTCCCAGAGTGTAAGTGAGCAGAGGACTGTGGACTGCTCTTCCATCATACTTTTTAATTTTCCTGTTTTAAGGGCATTAACTCTTACTGTTAACAGAGCAAGACCTAAAGAAACTTGAGAGAATGAAGTGGGGAGAAAAGGATAAACAAGACAGTTACTGAAGAAAAAGTAGGCAGAAGGGGATTGCAAGAGAAGGGGTGAAGAAAAGCCCTCTCCCTGGAGACCAGAAGTCTCTGGCTCACTCCTCTGACCACGGCCCCAGTCCCCTTTCTTGTGTGTCAACACCCTGCTAGTTTCCAGATTTCTTAGTGCCCTCTGTCTTGCCACTGTGAGCTATTGTCAGTAGTATGCTGTATAGCAAATAAAAACTTCTGTCAGTGAATAATACAAATAAAAGCTGATATTGTAATAGATTTTGGTATGGAATGATTAAATTACTTGAAATTTTGACAGGTTAGGAGGAACATTCTTTGTCGGTGTACTTCTGTTCTTTCAGTTTGGGATTTGGAGGCTTAATAATCATTCCTATTTTTAATGCCCTCAAAGAAAAGTACAGTGAGGGCCTTTTGATTGCACTGATGCTATCAGAGTGGGCTGAAAACAAAACACATGCTTCCTGCTTTACCTGAAATGGAAGATCCCACTGTGTTATCAAGCTGGGATCTGACCTTAATAATAAATCATCTTAAAGTAAACTTGTTGAAGAGACTTTAAGTATCATAACCTCCACCTAAAACTAGAATGCTTTGGACAAGTTACAATTTTTCATACAGTTTTCATAGTAGGCCTTTTTCAGACTAGTCACTAGTGTAGAGAACATACGTGTTTTCAGTGCAAAACCATTGATCTAGCACACGGCAATGTTAAGCCCTTGTCCTGAGTGCAGGAAAAGAGAACTTGCTTCTGTTCTTATTTCTGCTGTTGCAGGTTCCAGCATTATAGGCCAGGTGGGACTATTGTGTGTTGTAGCCTATGTTAAGTAGGTGATCAGGCCAGTTGAATTTTTCTAAATTAGCATATTTTCACATACATGAAAAGATAATATCTGTAATTTAATAATTTAACAATCCCCCCCCAGCAAGCTGATTTCAGCCGCAATACTGCGTGTGCGAATCCTAGTAACAGGACAGCTTTACCCCAAAGCTGTTTAGTCCCCTTGCCTTTTACTGTTACTAACTTGACTCTTGTTGTTCTTTCCTTTCTCCTCCTTTATTTTGGTTTTCAGTCTCTGATCTAGTTATCCAATCACATATTTTCAAGCATTGGTAATCTTAAAGCAATCCATGCTACATGCAGAAGATGGAATTTTCATTTGATGTAGAACATTTGTTTAGTGCATTCTCTGTCTCTTTATAACTTTTCTCAGTAGTTAATTCCCTCCTTAAAAGTATGTAATCTTATGATACAGGTCGCTTAATTTTAGTTTTCAGCTGATTAATAATGTTACCTTCAAGTGGTTTATTTCAAAGTGGCCCTGAGTGTGTGGTGTATGTCTAGAGACTGCAATCAAGTTAGTTTTAAATTTTCTTTTAAGCTTGTACTTCGATACAGTCCTCTTGCCATTGATACAGGAGACTTCTGCTCTTTTAATTAAGGCTTTTCTTGAGAGTCATTATGACGCTTCTGTGAGCCCTCTCCAACGTAACATCACCTTTCTGAAAGCTGTCGATGCCAGACTGGAAAAAGAACGGCAGCTACATACAGGAAATAAGTTAGTGTCAGTTTTCTTAAGGAAGACTTTTCTCATTGATAGCACTGGAAATCACATTAGCTAGCTTCTGTAACAGTGGAAGGTAGTTGCAGTGTCTTTGCTCTATTAGTACTGTAATTTCACCAAAAGAAGAAAATGTCCTTATATGCATGCCAGCTGGCACAGGAAAAGGTTCTGTGTGTCTTCTCCCCTTCCCTCTGTACATGTAGTCTTCAACGCTTTTTGAAGTAGCTGGTGCTGGTGAGTCCTTTCACATTTGCTGTATTGGTGTCCTTTCTACAGTGTTTACTTCTGACTTGTGCGAGAGCTAAACTTAGACTCGAGACATAGAAACCCAGTACAGCACCTTGTTTGTTGAGATGAATTTCCTAGCCACCTGGTGTTCGATTTCTGCCCTCTTGCTCGCTGCACAGACAGTGTTGCTAAGGCCAGCTGGACTGTTCAGCCCACCAGCTGGAAACGGGAATGGCCCAGGGACCTGATTGACTCTTCCTCGCAGGATGGCTTGGGTTATAACTTTCTGTGATGTGACCTTACAGCGGATTGGAAGAAATGTGCCTAAAAGAGTGAAAGAAAATCATCAGTACAGGGCACTGGTGAGACCTCCTCTCCAATATGGGGTATCATAATGCTGAGCAGGCTATAGTAGATGTGGCACATGGCTCCAGGGATGATGTTGAGCTTGTTACAGAGGAAGAGATTGAAAGAGTTTAGCATGTTTCCCCTACTAAAACAGGCCAGAGGAGGCTATTCATTACATTGTTGAAGACTGTATGTTTCTCCTGCCCCAGGTGTTCTTAATTTTACATCCATTTGGAGCCTGAAATTAAATTTGATCCATGTTACACTTGTTAAAAGCAAAACAAAGGCCTTGGCGCCTGTAATTGGCACCACAGCTGTTGATAGTAAGAGTTGACTTCACAGTATTTGGCATAGCAGGAGACACCAGCAATACGTCTCCCATTCCCCTTTTTAATGGAGAAAGAACAATGCGAAGATTCTTCCTTGAAAGGCATGTCTTGATAAATTAATGAATGAGGTGTTTCTGCTAGTCTGAGGCATTCAGTGTTAAATATTTTAAAAGCTCGATTTAGTGTTTTCAAACCATAATTTTACAACTCTAAGAAAAACCTTTGCAGCATCTGCGTATTTTTGGACAAAACCCTCGCACATAGGTAGGCCCAGCTGTAAACTGTGGAAGTTATGCAAAGTTTGTGGGGAGGGGAGAGGGTGTCCCAGACATTCCTCCAAAGAGGAGCGCAGTTCACTTAATAACTTCATCAGAAAGGAACAGTCTTTTCAATCAGTTGGAAGTGGGTTGTTCCCCAGTGTAAAAAGGCTTTATCTGATCTATATTCTTATCCAAAATACAAACATTTGGAGATTATTGTATTTATTATCACCATGTTTTAGCAATGCGTTTAATATGCAAAAAATATTCTTGTCTTCTGTCCAGTGACTCTTTGTGTACAGTCCACGAGCATTGCTTCTGCTCTACAGTTTCAACAGGCTCAGACAGATGTCCACGAGTAGGGTGGGTCAGATTGATGCAGGCGATAAGAAAAATAACTCAGTTGTCGGGTATTGTTTGTTTAGCAAAAGGTTTTGTGTGTCTATGAGGTGAGGAGATGAGCGCGTGGAGGAAGAGAATATTAGTTCGCAGAATTTTTCTCTTCATGTCAGAAGATTGAGGAAGGGAATGTTAGTTCTTGATGTCCGTTAAAGAAAACAACTTTGTACCTGTCGGGAGGTCAGAAGACTGTCGTAGTTATAAAGTTTCTGTGTGAGCAGCAGATGGCTTGTTTTCACATCACAGGGAGGACTCACTGTCATGCCTGGATCTCACTGAGGGTAGAGTCTTTTATTCAAAAAAATTTATAATTAAAATATCAATGTACAAATGATTCCTCCTAGAAGTGGTTTTTCTTTGGTCTCTCTGCATGAACATCTACAGTGAGAGCCCGTTTTCTTTCTGCTGCCTCTTCCCGTTTTGTCTAGGCATCTTCTTGACTGCTCCCCTGCAGAGCCTGATAATTGTAGTGCTGGCTGCCGAGCCTTGACAGCTCATGTGCAGAAGAGCAGCAGCTGTGGCTTCTTTCTTCCTAGAGTTAGCTGCCATTCTTATAAACTGGGCTGGTGTCTCTTTTTGATAGAGTTCTATCTAGTTTTAAGATACATCATGGTAGGAAAAAAGCACCAGAGATTTTATTTGTAAAAGAGGGAAATATTTATCAGTCTTCAAATATTATTCTAATACCAGTGCTAACCCCTGGAGATGCTTGTCAAAATGCTGGCTTAAAAGCCATTTTCCATGCTTAGTATTGAGGCTTGCCACTGGGATTTTATTTTTATGTTGTTCACGTTACGGTGAGAAATACATTATCAGTGGAAGGATCTTTCTGAAAGAGAGTCAGCTAATGAAAACCCTTATGCTGCCTGAAGAGCCGTTTCCTATGCAGCTGTACGTAGACTCCTACATTCTTCAGAATGTCCACTTTGAACAAAATCCACATGGCAGGAGTTCACAGAGCAGGCCTCAGTCCCATTCTGGGAAAGTTGGACGTTTGACTAGAATTAACTGCCTTGAACCCATTGTACTTGAATTACTTGTAGAGAATAACATGTTTGTGTACAGTGAACTCCTGTGCAAATACCATGGTAATAACCAAAGGTACTGTGCCTGGTGGAAAGAAAAATGCCAGCTCTTTGGGAAACAGAGAAAGAGAAGGAATGCAAGGAGGCAGGGAAAAGAACAAAGATGCTGGCTGTCACGGGGGTTTTCTTTTGTGACTTTTGTTTTTCAGCAGTATGATGAAGGGACTGTGAAAGTAGGGCCTAGAGTGAAGGGGATGATGAAGCTGTTTTTCTTCTCATCTCAGAGATCTATAATAACTATTTTAATACTTATACTGGTGCTCCTTCTTATAAAAAGAGCCATTGCTGAGCTGCCAGATCTCTTGCTGTGTGAGATGACACATTAATACTGAGCTTATTGGAGCAGGTTCTTCAGTTTTGTGCAGGTTGTTTTCCATGTCGGAGCAAAAAGATCTCTTTGTACTTTCTGTTCTCCTTTGAGATTATTTTATGTAAGTGGCAGAGTTTGGAAGAGCATTTCCTTGGGACCCTGTCAGTGATGCTTTTGATGGTGTTCCAGAGGAGAGTGTCCTTGTCAGATTATGAAGACATGTTTTTCAGCCCTGTGTCTCCCTTGTTCTGGCTTGGCATCAGAGGGTCCGGCTTCACCTTGGATCCCCCAGTAGCGATCGGTGCAGTCTGTACTGGTACCACCCCCCCAGGCTGGACAGAGACCTTCTGAAAGCAGCTGTGTCAATGTATAGAGAGCAGGTGGAGGGGAAATACTGTTTGTTTTAGCAAGGTAGTGGGTTGGATGGAAAAAAAGAATGGAAAGAGTGCAAATTCCTCTGCTTAATTGAATTATGTTATCGCTACCTAATGTTCTTTTAGTGTAGAAGAATTTTTTTATGTAATACAGATTCAATCCTTTGTTTATTTTTAGATCCCATGGGTTTAGGAAACATACCAATCTTAATTTGCCAGCTCTAGTAATTAATTCTAAGAATCAGCAACAATCTAACACTCTCAGCTTTTGTTCTCAGCAAGTAACTCTGCCCAAGTTATTCTGGCCAGCGTTCATTCCCACAGCATGCTGACTCTTGAGAAGCAGCAAAGACTCTCATCTTCCTTTTTCATTGTTTCGAAAATCCAAATAAACCCTACTTCCCCTGAAGATTTTTCTCGATTCTTCCTCAACTCTGGCTCTTGGCCTGGATAAGCCCCAATTCAGACTCGCTTCCCTTTACGTTCCCTCGCCCGATAGCTCTTACGTAGGGCCAAAGTTCTGACCTGCCTTGCCTTTGAGGATCGTTTCACCTGCTCACGAATCTGTGCTCCTGCCTGCCAGAACAGCTTGTCCCGTGGCTGGTAACCACAGGAAAACCATGCCTACATTCCCAGCTGCTAGCTCCTGTCTGCAAACCTAGGCAAGCACCATCCTCAGCTCCAACTGTTGTTTACCTCGTATCACCTCTCCGGGCTCACCTCGCATCTGCAGGGAATCTCAGTTATGTGTGAGTCAGGGAGGACCAACCTTAACAAATGGCAGACTCCAAAGTTAGTGCTTTTGCAGATTGTATCAGCCATGGAGTGTCTTTGTATCGCTGAGAATGAGATACAAAGGCAGTGAGGGTTTTTTTTTGTTGTTGGCTTTTAAATAATGCCGTTCATCTGTGTATCTGACTCCTAATCTCAGAGTTGCTGAGTTTAGGATCTTGGGGCTAATATATGTCTCTGTGTGAATGTTTGGAACTGCAGGGTTTCAGATGAGAGATTGTCTTTTGCAAGCCAAGTCCCTTGCTGGTTGCTTATTTATGCAGGGCTCCAAGCTTGCATGCTACTTCAGACTAAAAGGTGTATTCCAGGTCACACAACTGAAAATAAGTGCTTGTTCTACAGCTTCTGCGAGGGGAGGACTGGCTGACTAGAGGCAGAGTACGAATTTTGCTTGCACTTTGGTCTTGTTTTGAAAAACTAACCAACCAAGAAATATTGGGCGGGTAAAGAGAGGGAGAAACCTTTTCCGAACTTCGTGAACATTGCTCTGGACATTCTCAATAAATGCCTTTTATTTTCTGTAGTGTTACAGTAGAAGCCAAGATAGGCGTTAAACAGTTATTTGGTAAAAAAATGGCTAGCAGATATTTAATCGCATAGAAAATCAGGGAAGAGTAGTCTTTTGTCTTTATCTGAGCAGATATTTCCTCGATGTAAGCACCAGGTGGCATTCTTACCATGATTATGATCAGAAGTTACTATTTTCCATTTCGGTTTTATAAATCTCATATCAAGATGAATACAGATACTGACTTTCTGAAACACAGCCTTTGGGCTCTGTCAAAAAATACCTGCTTGGTTAAAGCCTGACTGATGGTCTAATTTGTTTTGGTACCTAAAAATAAAGACACTTTGCAGAACCTCTCTACAAGTCTTTGGGTGTGTAGTGACAGTGTTATATTCCAGTATGTGTGTATCATCCTGTGTTTAAAAAATGTTTTGTTTGCTCTCCCCTCCCAGCCCTGGTACCATTTCACAGTCTTAATGTCAAATTCTCCCTGAACAAAAACCTTGCAAGCTTGATCTTGTATGTTTTTATAACCAACTCTTTTAAAGAATCCTGTAAAAATGAGTACTCTGAATTGTTGTTTCATATAATTATATATTTAAATAATTATTGTAAGAAACATTTCCATAGACTGATATTTTTTTCAGAAGTTCTTGGTGCTGGTATTTACCAGAAACGTTTGTCCTGCTTTTCCTCTAGGTCCTGTCTGCAGTATATGTGTATCATCTTTTGGAGCGAGACCAGTAGCAATCTTCAGTGGCTTTATGGTGGCCGGGGGCCTCATGATGAGCAGTTTTGCACCTAACATATACTTTCTATATATTTCATATGGGATTGTTGTTGGTAAGAAACACTTTCATACAGAGACTTCATCTTTATTATTTCGAGTCTTGGTTTATGAATCTGAAATGGGAAACTGATTCACAGAGGCAGTGGTAGTCTGGAAGTTGCTTTTTCAAGGAATACTTTGGGGAGGGGTGTTGCCCAGGCAGGCTGTTACCATGTAGTAAAAGATGAAAGCGATGCATGTGTTCATCAGGGTTTTAAAACAGTTTGTCCTCTGTTAGCACGATTGTTAGAGAAGGAGAAGCTAAGGTTTTACCTAAGATGTGGAATCAAGCAGGTCTTCTGCAGGCACGAAGTGCCCGTCTTAAGGGAATAACATCTCTTCTGGAATTTTGTCATGTACTCATTCTAATTTGATAAATTAGAGATCATTAGGGAGCGATGTTGTTCTCCCCATAACTGGATTGAACCGAAAACGCTGTGCTAGAGGGATGAAAGTGCTGTTCTCCTGGCAGGCGGTGACCTGCCCCTCCGCGCTGCCGGGGGCTGCTCTGGGTGGTTCATCGAATTAACTGTGTCAGGAATCCAGGCACCTGGCTGGCCATCAGGGGCCCAGCAGCGCGCTGGCTCGGGCACAGTGCCCCGTGGATGTGGGTCTGCTGTTTCCTGGACTGAAAGCCGTGTAACAACCCTTCCGCGTAGCACGGAGCCTGCCCAAGCCCAGCCTGCTCCATGCAGGCTCTGCAGGCAGGGGTGGCCGGGGCGAGGCGGTGGGACAGTGCAGGCAGCCTGATGGCCCCGTCAGCGTGAGGTACCCCTGTGCCCAGAGTATGCCGCTGTATCATCTGGGGAAAAAAAAGGGGGCATTAATTTCCCAGGGTATGTTGCATACTTTACTTCTACCTCTTTTTCTTAAGGGCTTGGGTGTGGCCTTTTGTATACCGCAACAGTTACCATCACTTGCCACTATTTTGACAAACGCAGAGGCCTTGCTCTTGGTCTGATTTCAACAGGTATGACTTTTAATTGTCGTACTCTCTAACTTTTCAACTCTGTACCATTACCCTGGCAATAAAACGCAGGAGATTACATTTTTCTCGGTTATTTCCTGACATACTTAAATCAAAACAGTAGCAAAGAACAGATAAAATCAGGCTTCAGATAAAAGACTAACTACACTTGCAGGTGTATGGTATGGATTATCTGTATAGATGAGAAAAGGATTTACTGAAATGAAAGCAGACTTATGAGTAGCTTGGGCTATAAGTCATGGGTAACAAGAGGGGAAACTTTCCATAGAGGTCTCTTTTCCCTTTTCTTTCTTACACAAGACCAGAGGTGAGAAAGATTGGGGATTCAGGGTATGCATGCCGTGTCACCATAACTTCACATAAGCTGTACCCTTAAAGGAGTAGTTGAAGTTTGAGCTTAACATTTTTAATATTTTCTCCTTTCCAATCTAAAAGGAGACGAAATTCTTAAATCTTCCAAAGGCTCATCCCAGCTTTTTGTCCATGTATGATGAAGGCATCCTAGAAAAATGAACCTCTGATAATACAAGGAAAATTCTTTAAAGGATCCTGAGCAGTCTTCCTCATTCTTTCCCTGGGCCTTTGGGTAATGTGGTGTTGTCCTTTACACCAAGGAGCTGCTAAATTAATGGACCAAGTGGGAACTATTGAAGAAGGCTGTTGTCCCGTGCCTTGCTTTCTGTGTTGTATGGAGTCTCTCCTCTGATCTGTTTGCACGAGTAGCTGTTAGTGAAGAGAGTCCTGGTCAATACAGTCAGTACTGTGAGATACTAATGCCAGATCCATGCCAGTGGGATAAAGGGGAACTTCTGCAGAAATGTTCCTTGGAATCATTTTCAGTGGCTTTTATTGGAATTCCAGGTAGTTTGCCTTAAGGCCTGATTTTATTCAGCCCTGATTATTTTTAGTACCTGGAAGCTGAAACAAGTCTGGATTTTATTATTTTTTCCTGTGTTTAGCACTGAAGTATGTAAATTGCTTTAATATAACCTAGAGACAGTCTTTAGCAAATCATTTTAATTTGAAGTTTGTCTTGACTTGAAAAAACAATTTGTGAGTGGAGATCCATTGATTATGACGGATCTGTGCTCACTTCGACCGAGAGCTTTTTCTATAAACTGGTGGGATTGCATCAAATGCTTGTGTTCATAGTAACTGCTTACTACTCAGTGTTTTTTTCTGAATAGCCACATTTCTCAAACACGTTTGGCCCTGCAGAGCTTCAGAAATGTCTTTGGAGTAAACTCACAGCACGTGAGCCCCCTCCTTAAGCACCAAGCAGCCGAGGGTTGTCTCTAGGAGGGCTCTTGGTGAACCGCTGGTCTGTTCCTGCCTTAGAGGAGGAAGGTGGCAGCGAGGAGGGAGAAAGGGGAAAATGTTGATGTCTGAAAATCGAACTGTGCTAACTCAAAGCAATACCTGAAGGGATACATGAATGTGAGTGCATGGCAGAAGGATGGCTTAATAGTTCTTTGATGTTTTTCGTCAGATACAGTATTGATCCTACTTGTGTCTAAAGTGGCTGCTAGTGTTAATTGTCATAAATTGTTCAGATATTTTGAAAGGCTTTTTATTTTGTGGATACTCGATAAAGAAACTGTAACTTCAAGAGGGATAGTAACTTACCAGTTCATTAGACTGGGGAGAGAGGAGCACAAATGACTTGCCATTCCTGTGACAGTGTATTTGTAGCTGCTGAAATGTAGAAGTTTGCTTGTGTTGAAGAATGTTCTCAGTTCTTCAGTTTAAACTGATCTTATTTTCCTTTTATAGGCTCAAGTGTTGGACTCTTTATATACGCAGCATTGCAAAGAGAGCTTATTGATCTGTATGGACTGGATGGTTGTCTGCTAATAGTCGGTGCACTGTCTCTAAATATATTAGCATGTGGCAGCCTAATGAGACCACTGGAGTCATCTGATTCTCCTCCACCAGAAAAAACGGGTGTAGACAAAGTCCCAGATCAATATTTTGTTTACCATGAAAAAGAAAAGACTGTTGAAGAAAATATAAGCATCCTTGAAAAGGGCTATGTTGATGAAAAATGTGTGAACAGTATGCCTGACTACAAACAGGATAGCATTTTAAGTAAGAATGTATTAAACTCAATAAATGTAAATGAGAAAGACACTTACAAAAAGAAAGTTGTAGAACAGACAAACTTCTGCAAGCAACTCGCCAAAAGGAAGTGGCAGCTCTATTTGAACTACTGGGAGGAAACCATGGTTCTTTTTAAGAACAAAGTATTTTCAGCTCTCTTTGTTGCCATCTTGCTCTTTGATATTGGTGGATTTCCTCCTTCGCTGCTCATGGAAGATGTAGCAAGAAGTGCAGGCATTAATGAGGATGACTATCACATGCCCCTTATTTCTATTATAGGCATTATGACTGCTGTTGGCAAACTTACTTTAGGAATACTGGCAGATTTTAAGTGGGTTAACACTTTATATCTATATGTAACTACCTTACTAATGACAGGAGTGGCCTTGTTTGCAATTCCATTTGCCAAAAGTTACCTTACGTTAGCGATGCTTTCTGGGATTTTGGGTTTTCTGACTGGGAACTGGTCAATTTTTCCATATGTAACGACAAAGACTGTGGGAATTGAGAAGCTGACTCACGCATATGGGATATTGATGTTCTTTGCTGGACTTGGAAATAGCCTCGGACCACCAATTGTAGGTAAGGTCAAGGTAGATACTATAAAATGAACATGAGCTTGTCAGGACCAGACAGAATTAATTTACATGCAAGTAGTTCTAGTTGGTCCTAATAACAATGAAGAGATGAAATCAAAATCTTCAACAAAAATTAAAGTCTGTTTTGCTTAAGCTGGCCGAGCTGATTGTGTTCTGGTTTTGGCTTTGATGGAAGCACATTTCATGTCGAAGTCATCAAACTGCGTTTTAGATTTGGCCTCTTTTGGGTGGTTTGTTTTTTTCCTTGATGTTTCTCTAGAGTACAGTGCTGTGTTCCATTTAACTCCTCACTGATGCGCTTCTCTCTTCTTTTTGCCCTCAGGTTGGTTTTACGACTGGACGCAGGAGTATGACACTGCGTTCTATTTCAGTGGCTTTTGTGTCTTACTGGGTGGATTTCTTCTGCTGTTGGCAGCGTTACCCTGCTGGAATGCCTGTACCAATCAGAGCTCAAAGCTGCCTCCAAATACTTACTCCTACAAAGTTGCATCTAGTGCTTAGGTGACAACCGGAAAACACTTTGTGCTTTTTTTTATATTATATAGTGAAGTATTTTAGTAATTTTTCCACTTATTTATGAAGCCCAAAAATTCTTTCCCACTAAAAAAAAAAAAAAAATCCATTGTTGCTTGTTGTTCAGTTCCTTTTTCTTTTATTTCTGTTTTATTTTATTTTTAAGAACAGTCTTATTTTGTCTACTATGCACTGTATTTTCAGCCTTTGTCTACTGTAATTTCCTTTTATGCTGTAAGGGGTATATTCTGCTGTATTATCAGCCCTACTGTTTTTTGGGGTTTTTTGTTTTTTTTAAGGGAGGGGTGCTATGAAGGGGTGAAACCTTTGAAGCAAAAATGAAGGCCTGTTCCTCATAGAAGGCTGGCATTTCTGTCACCTTTTATAGGTCTCCAAGTTGCACAATCAGACTTTAAAAAAAAAAAAATAATTTGCCTTATTAGAATGTAATACTGTGGCAAGGTGCTTATAACATCATGCTTAGATTAACTTTTTGTCTTTTTAAAGTTTCTCTGATTTACAATGAAGTGCCAACTGGGGGAGGGAGAACGGGGCTGGGGGAAACCCAACCTTGTGTTACATGACTGAAGTGAACTTTATGATGAAAGTAAAGATTCTTACTACCACTGCAACTGAGAATTATGTTTATGAATATTGCACATTTTGTGAAGTCTTGTTTATAAAACTGTTGAACCAAACCCTTTTAAACCAAGGAATAAATATGACTGTTGAAACCATGAAAAGAAATGCTGACTCGGTTATGCAAGTTCATAATCTTTAGACCGATGTTGGAGATGTGCTCACAGAAGCCCACAGATGAGTGTTTCGGAGCAAGTCGCCTGCAGTCTGGCAGTACTGGGGGCATTTCTTGTTGCACAACTGCAGTTTAGTAAGTTGAACCCGCTGCGGAGAGCTTAGTAGTAGATTTTTCAACAAGATAGACCCGATGAAAAAAAGGAAAAATGTGACAGCAGCGTCATCTTTGCTCCGTCATTTTTGGAATGGACGTAGCGAGGAGAAAATTTAGTAACAGGGAGCGAGAACAAGCATGGGGGAGGGATAACAGAAGAGGTATGGGGGAAGATGAGGTGGGAAGAGTTGCAACACCTGAACGCCAAACAAGGCAATGAAGAGAGAGCCCCTGCAAACCTGGATACTCTCTGGCTGCAGGCTAGCACTGCGTGTGTGTGTGTCAGCTTTTTGCTTGTTTATTCCAAGGCCCGAGGTTGACAAGACCGGGGGGAATGCTGCGTGAGGCTGAGGTCTTTCCTGAGCCCAGGCAGGTGCTACAGCAAAGGCAGGATGACTGCTAGCTCTGCACTGCCCTGCGTGCCCTGCGCAGTAGCTTTTGCTTCTGTAGCTGCTCCCGTGCCAAAGATGTGTCTGGTTGCTCTTGTGTAGTGGTCACAGAAATCCGCAACCTGTGTGCTTTGGCTTCTTGCTGTAGGTTTAAAGTTCAGTGGAGCATACTGGGACGCCTTGAGTGAGGTCGTTCTTAGTCCTGAGTTGCATCCTGACTGGTTCTCTGCAAATGCCCAAGTAGTTCTCAGCAGTACTATGTGCCTCAAATGTCTGCTGTGATTCTAGCTCATAAATAATCTTTTAAGATAAAAAAAAAAATAAACAGGCATGTAATGAGCAACCTTTATTGTCAGAGTGCTATGCACAGAGTTGCTGTGTTTGCACACCTCATTAAGCAAGAGCGATGTAACCTTTAAGTGGAGCAGACATAATTGCAAGTAATGTTCCCTCTTCTGGTCTAAAGTAGGAAAATCCAGCTTGGCTTTAGACAGTTTTTGCTGACTTTCCGGGATTTGCTTATGTTTGTTTGTATTAAAACCTGACAAAAATAAAGATGCAGTTAGTTTGTCTCCTTATTTCTTTTCCTCCATTCGTCAGCTGGGTGTAACTACGCTGTAGGTTATTTTTCCTGCATTGCTTATTCAATGCATGTGGAAAAAATATTATTTGATATAGGCATAAATGCACCTTCAGTTCCAAAGGGGAGCCCTGGGTAGCTGATGTGGATTTGCACCTGTTTTATGTGCTGTATGGCAGCTGCAGTCAGATTTCACCTCATGCATATAAAAGTAGTACCATGTTTTACACATCTTAAAGAAACTGCAGTGATAGACTCGATTATAATTAGGGTAGGTGTGCCTTTGGATTAATATCTTTTAAAGTCTTTCACTTCCTGCCAACAATACATTCCGAGTACTTTAAATATGAAACTGATGTTAAATTAGTTGTGAATCTGTTTGAGAAAATTCAGCTGGAATTGATGGTAATGACTGGGCAACATGGAGCACACTTTTGCAATGGAAATGGAGTCTATTATTAGGCGGTTTGGTATGTTTGGAAATGCGACTAGTGATCTGTGATAGTTTCCTGATGTAATCCTACCCATCTGTGAGGAAAGAGCCCTGACTGTTGAAGAATTTTATATTGCCACCGCAGAAAATTTATGTTAGGACTCTTAGTCCTAGTCAGTTGAGCACTGTGACTTTACTAATCTTGACTCTGATAAACAAGGCCTAAGATTTAGTTTCTTTTTTTTTGCTTTTTTTCCTTCTCTAGTTTTGCAGGGTTCTTTTCCAAGAAGAGATTTCCAGAGATGCTGCAACTTAAGTATTTTCCTGAGAGCCTTTCTTTCTTCTGTCTGGCATGCTTCGTTCACATGTTTTTTGGAAGGTGGTGGGGGGGTACAACATGATTATCTATGCCTCATCTTGAAAAGTTGGTCATCAGCATTGACAGGGTGGTAGAGGTAGGTAGGTACAGAGTTGTGCCATGTAGAGTTCAATTCTGTGTCCTCTTGAGTTTTTATATGCCCTTACAAACAGATCTGAAATAAGAGGAGTGAGGTGCTTGAATAATTATTCTTTATTATAAAAGAAAAAGTTATTGTTTGCTGAATAATTGGTTACTGTGGAGTCAGTCATGAATAGAACATTTATCTTATTTTCCGATCTTAAGAAAATTTATTGGAGTTACCAAAATGGCAAGACAAATGAAACTGCTAAATTTTATTAGATGTAAAGTCTATTCTGTGCCTTCCTCAATTGATGGTCTTTATGATTAGCTGCAAACCCAGATTACATTCCTTTGGTAGTTGTTAATTTGTCTATGTTATGCTGATACTGGATTCCTGCATCACATACTGAGACGGAACGATGTGCTGAGTAAGGGCTACAGATCATATGCTATAAAAATTGATTGAGATGTCTGCATCGCATTAAACTGAGGTATTTTTTTATTGGAAAGATATTTGGCTTAAGGCCTTTAAGGAGGGCCTTTCACGTGTGGATATGGTGAATGTGCTGAGCTGAGCATGATACCAGTCAGATTAAAAATGGCAAAAATGATAAATGATACAGAAATTGGACAGGTATGTTAAAGGAAGTGGTAAAAGCTACTTTCTCCTAGGAACTAGAATTCCTCCAATTCCAAGGCCTTGTTTCAGTGATGTTTTGCTGTAGACTCAGTTATGCTGAAGAGACAAGTCAAAGACTTGTCATTCTTCTTCCAAGAAATAGTTTTGAGAGGTGTCACTATGCTCTGTTTACCAAAATCCATTTTGCTTTTTTACATTTTTTTTTTGGAAGAAAGATATCTGTGCTGTTAAATAATGGCCTTTAAACAACTGAAGCTGTCACACACATGCTCATCTTGTACCATGCGATATCATGTAATGATTTTGCTGCAGGAGCTAACTCACGGAATGATTTGAGTTGGAGGGGGTCATCGGGTTTAGCCCTACTGCCATGACATAGTGATTTCAGTTTTCTCTAAAAAGCTGGTCTGTTTCTGGTTTGTCACCATTTTCGTGGTCCCGTGGGGGAAGGCTTGACTCCTTTCTTTTATGTCCTCATTGTAAGGCCTCACGTTTTTCTGAAATAGCTACTTATGTTACTGTTCTTTAGTGTGCCCAGAGTTTTTTGCAATAACACTGCCAGCCAGCTTTAGCTGTCTTTTAATGTGTGGAGTATTTTCTTGCTTGAGTTTTTCTCGTTAATATTAAACAGTCACATCCCTCCAAATTGATTTTATTAGCCCTAAAATCATTTCATGTTGCCAGAACCTAAAGGCCAAGATGTCTGAAATGAGCAATTTGCTGAAATTCTTGGCCAGAGCTATAGAAAGAGAATAAAATATGACTGGTAGGAACGCAGATCTCTCAACTTCGATGTCTGCAGACGCTCAACTTTATTTAATGAGGAACTGGGAGTCTTGTGCACATGTGATAAGGGAGAGTAAAAGCAGGACAACTCTTTTGGCTCTGGGGTCTCACTGCTGTGCTTTTTTCCCTTTGGATCTCCTGCATCGGGTGCAGTTTTGTGAGCTAGTGTAAGGTGAGAGGTAGGAGAATTGCATACCGGGAGCATGAGATTTAACGCTTGAGTGAGGAGACTGGAGGGACCCAGCATGCAACAAGGATATCATGCAATGTACAGTCATCAAGTACGTACCTCGGGAGCCTTCAAGGGAGCATCCCTGCTCCTTTCCTCGCTGATCCCTAGTGCCACGGCAGAGGGATGAAGTACAGTGAGTTTTCCAGGCCCTAGTTTAAAGTTGTGTAGTTGTGTTTTCTGCCAGTGCTTGCTTAAGGCATCCAGCAGTGCATCGTTGTGGGTGCGATGTTGTGAACCCACTCAGGGAACCTCTGGAAATGTCGTGGGGGGTTGTAACTGAGATCCGCTTGTTGTTTTTCCGGCATGGGCTCACGTGTAAGTGCCAGTGCAACAGGCCGTAGTGTGTGTAAGTGCCAGCACAACAGGCCGTAGTGTGTCTAAGTGCAGCACAACAGGCCGTAGTGTGTGTAACAGCCAGCACAACAGGCCGTAGTGTGTGTAAGTGCCAGCGCAACAGGCCGTAGTGTGTGTAAGTGCCAGTACAACAGGCCGCAGCGTGTGTAACTGCCAGCGCAACAGGCCGCAGCGTGTGTAACAGCCAGCGCAACAGGCCGTAGTGTGCCGCAGCACACGGCTGGGAAGGAGCTTGGAGCAATTCCTTTGTAACCTGCCCTCGTGGTCGTGCCCCTTTGTGGTGAGACTGCAACAAACGTTCCCAGCTGCCTCTGGCTCCAAGCTTAATCTCGCTTGGTCACAGCTAAACTTGCAAAAACATTTTCTTCTAGTTCAAATTAATGTTGGGTATTTTTTTTCCCCTGTTTGTCTCGTTGCAGGCTGAAAATCATCCACCTAAACTCTTTCCTCCTTTCTTGCTGTCACAGCTCATGTTGAAAAGTAAACATGTTTTCAGTGATTAACAGCAACAACTAGGAGATGTTGCTGAGTAACAAGATTAATACCGATCCCCTCTGTTTTGTAAAT